CTGCCTCCCAAGCGCCCCATGGGCTGGGGAGGTGGACCATGCCTACCTCCCAAGCGCCCCGTGGGCTGGGGAGGTGAGCAGTGCGTGCCGACGGGTGTTGACGAACATGCAATACTTCTTGGTGGTGCCGCTGGAGGTAGTGCTGAAGTCGAAGATGCCAGCCTGGGAGGTGCGGCCTCAGGTGGGGGCCTCTTGGGAGGATGCCCTACCAACTGTGAGTGTACAATACTAGACGCCAGCTCCTTCTGGATCTCCTCCGCAGACAGTTGGCCTCCGTACTGATCACTCGTCGTCAGACGCTCCAATCCAGAGCTGGCTGGCGGCGTTGGTGTCAATCTTGTTGGGGACCCAGCTGGAGAACTCGCTATCGTCTTCGGTGGCGACCTTGCAGGACTAGGAGATCCTCGACGAGCACCGTCCTGAGCTGGGTTCTGAACTCCAAGCTGCTGGATCGTACCTCGTCCCCTCGTGATATGCCCCTGCGGTGTACTCAATGAAGCCTGGCAGCGCAGGTGTTTGCCGTCCACAATCGGAGTGGGATACCTTGCTGGCGTCGCTGGCTGGGCTGGCGGTGGAGGTGGAGGTGGAGGAGGTGGAGGGACTTCATCCTCCTCTTCAGCTTCGCGACCAGAGCTCTTGGCCCTCTCCGCAAGATCCCGTCGTCGATCGTACCCATAATCTTCGACAGCAGTACTGTCTGAAACCTCCTTCCTGGCCTCCACTGCTTCTCGGAATAGATCTCTGTGGTATTCGTACAACGTTCGTTGATATAGCATATCGTCCGCCAAAATCTGCTGCTTCTTCTCTAGTGCCGCGATCTTCTCTTCAGCTTGAACCATTACTGCCTGAGCCTCAGATCTCTGGACTGCCACGGGTTTCAACTGCCAGTGCATCCACTTCATCACACTCAGCTCATGCTCCTGTGCCGCCATGTACGTACCCGCCTTCTTGCCCTGCACAAGTAGCTCCGCCAGCTTGAGCATCCTGTCCTCCACCTGCTGCTTGTACTGCTTCATTTCTCGGGGCGCTGGGGGCTGCTTGTAAGCAGCGTGGCGCAGTGCATACTCCTGCGTGCACATCATGTGTGCCTCCAACGTACTCTTGACTTCAGCACGAAAACTCGACTTCTCGCGCTCCCGACGTTTGTCATCAGCTTGGCGTTGTTGGTGCTTCCTCCACGTCATACTGCAGTTCTTCCAACCTCCTCGGGCTCCATCTCTAATCTTGCCTTTGCATACCCATGTACCCTGGTCATTGACCGATTGGCACTCCATACATGTCCACGTGCCAGCAGTACGTCCTGAAGCCATACTTGAATGGTGCAGCTCGATCAGTCTTCGCGCACGCTCCAATCGCAACACCACCCGAGCCTCAGCTCGTCTTCTCCTGGCTCTCCTGTGCCAGGCGGGACTCCGCTTCCTCTTCGACGCCGCCGTCGACCCAGTCGGCCTCGAACAGGTCCTGCACCTGCCTCCCGACCGTCCGCAGCTATGGCTGCGGCTGCGGGCCGCGGGCGCGCTTGCGCCGCGCCTGGGCGCGGCCGCGGGTCGGGCTCCCCTGCCCGCCCTCGGGCCGTAACGCCTGACGAGGCGGCCCCCCCCTCCTCCTGCGCGGTCCTGCTCCCCCGCCCCGCCCCGCCCCGCCCCCCTCCGGCCTCCTCTCGGCCTCCTCCCTCCTCCCCGGTCCCGCCCTCCCCTGAGCCTGTTTTTTTTTTGACTCTGGCAAGTTTACTTGCATGGACGGGGGGGGGGGCTGAGCCTGAAGCAAGCCGCAAACGACTTGCACGTTCGGGGGGGGGGGGGGCTCCGCGCCACGCAAGTGCAAGGGCGTTTTCTCGGGAATGGGAGATGCCTAAAGCCTGTGCCATGGACGTGCCAGAAGGCCGCCTCCCCGAAGCCAGGCCCCCGTGACGATGTGCGCCCCTGGTTCCTGAGAGATGCCGCCCCTCCTGGCTTGGACCCCCTAAAACAAAAAAGTGTAAAGCAGTGCAACACAACGCAAGGGCAAACCAAGCGAGGCGAAACAGGGATAACGATAACCAACCCACTACAACGCAAGTCAAAACCAATTCAACGCAATGCAGCGCAACGCGGCCAGGTGTGAAGCGGCGCATTGCGACGCAATGCAAAGCCATCCTGACCCATTGGACGCAAAGCCACGCAAGGCGACATAAACAAGCACATTGGAATTAAAGGCGCCGACAACCATCGCAGTTCGCAGCAAATCTACGGAGTTCAACCGAGTAAACGACCATACAAACACAGCGCCGCGGTGCGCAATCGCGCACAGCGGGTGTCTAAGTAAGTTGTTGTCAGTTGCCCCCAGCTTCTCAAAACAATGTTAAACGTGTACCTTGAATTGCGAGCTGGCCCGTGCAGTGTGCGGAACGCGAGAGCAACCTCGCCCACGCAGCCATCTGGGCTCGAAAGGCTTCTTTCCATGGCAATGGTGCCGGAGCAGTCGGGGGGGCCGCCCCCGCGGAACCCCCCGCCCAAAATCGCCACAGTTTTGGAACACATGGTGAAAAAAACATCACTGTCCCCACCGCTCAGCGAAGCGTTCAAGAAGAAATTGCACAGTGAACTCCAACCGAAAGGTGAAGAAACAACCAACACACTCAGGTATGCCCACAACCGCTTGCAGCGCATCATCCACTCCATGGTGAAAGCCCTTCAGATGGACCCAGGGAGGTCCGTTGAGCGTTGGAACACGGACGTATGGAAGAAGGCAAAAAGTTGGGTGGAGCAGCGCCAACAAGAAGCTGGCGTTGACATCGACGATTGTCTTCGCATTATTCTCGATGCTTGGTACGACGAGGCTAAAGCAGCATGGGAAGCAACGCAGAGTGGCACCCGCAGGCTGGACGACGTGGTTATAGATTCGCAGTCATCGGGCAGTGGCACCGCTGCTCCCGAAGTGGTCCCGCCCACACAGACGCCCATTCCGAAACCGCGACCTGATGACTGGAGGTCCATGTTCGCAGGTAGCCTGTCCAAGCCGTCTGCTTTTGCTGTCCTGGAACAGTGGCTCGGGATCGACGGCATCGTTGCGAAGATCACGAATGTGAACACAGGTTTCGTAAAGGAGTATCGGCAGATGCAAGAAGATATCGTCAAGCATCACGGCGCGAAGGCTCAGCTTGAGTGCTGGTTGCAAAAGGCGGACCTGGACAACCCGAAAGCTGGGACGCGCAACCAGCTGTTCGGTGCAATGGAGGATAGCAAGAAAAAGTGCGTGGCCTCGCATATGGTCGCCCTCGAACATTTGGACAAGGCAGCGAGCATTCGACAGGAGACCCTCGCCATGGCACAGGGCGACAGGCGGGCTCAAGAGCTCCGAAAGGCTCTCGCCGACGCCAGCGTGGTTAGCAACGAGATGCTCCACAGCCTCACGTTGCGCATCAAGGACCCCCGCCAATTCAATATGCATGCATGCCTCCTCTCATTCGGCCGAGACGGTAACGCAATACTGCAATAGGTGTGTGTGTGTGTGTGCGCGCGCGTGCTTGTGTACGTGCATGCGAAGTCGAAAACGCAAGTTCCTGTCATTTCGCCCTCCCCTCAGACAGGAGGGTAGGGAGGTTGCGGCTATGAGACGCAATTGCATTCCTGGGATCAGAAGAATTGTTAACATGGGTTTTCTGCCAGGCGCGAGATATGGGGGCCCGCCCCCCCAAAAAAAACTGCGCAAACATAAATGGTTTGCTATGGTGGGGGCTGTGCGAAACCGGACGTTGCCGCTCGAGCTCTTTGGGGGGGGGGGATGCTCGCCGCCCCCGGTGGAGAGCGCGACCAATGTGGAAGGCAAGGGGTGCTGGATTGACCGTGTATTCATATTGCCTTCAAGTGTGTGCGTGCGTGTGCACGTGCATGCGAACAAATGCCATCACCCGTGCGCCTTCGAGCCACAAGGGGGGTCGTGAATGCACCCTCTCCCCCCGCCCTTTCTCGCCCTCGTCTCCTAATGGTTGCCCAGCAGGGTTCCCCACAGGGTTCCCCAAACGACCCCCCCTGGGATTCCCAATAAGCCCCACCATCAGAATTCCACAAAAGATTTCCCATCCGATTCCCCATATGGTTCCCCGTACAGTTTCCCAGAAGGTTCCCCATAGGATGCCCCATAAGATTCCCGATAGGCCCCACCTCCATAGGATTCCCCATCTGAATCCCCACAAGATTTCCCATAGGACCCCCAATGGGATTGCACATAGGATTCCTCGTAGAATTCCCCATCAGATTCCCCATAAACGTATTCCCCATGAGCTCCACCGTAGGGTTCCCCATAGGATTCCCCATAGAATTCCTCATGAGAGACCCCACAGTGTGCCCCATAGGATTTCCCATAGGATTCCCAATGAGATTGCACATCGGATTCCTCATAGGATTCCCAATCGGATTCCCCATAAATGTTCCCCCCATGAGCTCTGCCATAGGGTTCCCCATCGGATTCCCCATACAATTCCTCATAAGAGTCCCCACAGTATGCCCCATATGATTCTCCATCGGATTCCCCATGGGATTCCCCATGGGATTCTTCCTATCGGACTCCCCATAGGATTCCCCATAGGCCCCCCCCATAGGATTCCCTTCAGGATTCCCCATAAGATTCCCCATCGGATTCCCAGTAAGATTCCCAATCGGACTTCCCATCGGATTCCCCATAATATTCACAATGTTGTTCCCATAGGCATGGCCATAAGACTTCGCAGCGGAATTCCACTTGGATTTCCCTCACGGCCCCCCCGTGGGGCCCCCCATCGCTGGGGGGGGGGGGGGGGCGCGCTGGGGGGGCGCATGCCCGCGTGGAGAGGGACAGATGCGAGGGCACAATTACGCGAATGCATTTGGCGTGTTTCTGGTCACGTGTTGGCGCGCTTTCTCAATCTCCAGCTTACTCGTTAGCCTCGGCGGCGCGCTGCGGAATAAAAATGAGAGAACCAGGCGGTCCCTTCGGACAAGAGCATCGGGGCACTGGGCGCGACCGGTCCCTCACATGTTGGCCTAGCACCACCTGATGGCAGCAGCCTGAGCCTTGTCAGCCCCGCGCCACTTTTTGGATTCAGACTCCCTGGTGACCTCGGGTGTGCCTGGGATGGTCGCAATAAATTTCTGACCAACCCATTTGAACGACATGATATCCTGCAGCCCTGCTGCAACCACCGCGCCCATGCACGGGGTCAGCGAATTCTTCCAGCCAGTGCTCAGCGCGTCCTCTGGAATCCACTCGTCCGGTGCGGCGGCGTCGGTGTATTGCACGAGCACTTGCCGCTGCCCGTCTGCAGCGATTCTGCAACGCACCACTTTCGATACCTCCATCAGCTCGCGATCCAAAGCCCCGTCTCCGTCGCCTCCGTACTCCGCCTCCTCTCCACGTGGGTCTTCGGCATGGTCCTCGTGCATTCCCTTTGCGCCTGCCTTTGCGATCGCTTTTGGGCCTGCCTTGCCGCTTGCCTTTGCATTTGGTTTCGGCGTTGCTTTCCCAGCTGCCTTGGCTTTTGCCTTTCCCTTTGCCTTTGCCTTTGCTTTTGGCGCGGCGGCCGCATCCTGCTTCAGAGACTCCTCCAACTCGGCGTTCAGTTTCTCCCATCGCTCTTTTTGTTTTGCTTTGGCCTGCCCTTCGCTGATGGCAGCTTTCTCTTTTGCCGATTCCGCTATGTCGCGACGGATGGCCCGAGCTGGCCTGTGATGATTGAAAAGCCGTTGGCGCCTCTTCTCTTCCGTCGGCGTGCAAGATATCCATTGGCAACCTTTGTGGAGGCACTTGGCAAAGCACTCGGTTCGCAAGGTGCCATCTGCGGCGTAACCGTGCTTGACTGGGAGGTGGGGCACCTTCTGGTGGAACTTCCGTCGGAGTAAGGCGTGGAAGGTTGCGTAATCAGCCGTTGGTGGCGCCACAGGGTCGCAGAGAAGGTTGGACTTCTCCTCAGGTGCTGGCTCATGTGTTTCTTCCTCTGCTCCTTCGGGGTCTCCGTCTGGCACGGGCTCTCCGACTTGACTCTTCAGCACTGGGCGGTGCATGCGGTAGTCGTTGGCCCCCGCAGTGAAGGCAGCCCCGAATGGAGGGAAATCGAATTCAAGCTACACGTTGTGTTAACGTTTCCCTAGCGGGTTCTGTTTCGCTGACGAACGATTGGACACACAATGCAGGCCGACACGGCATATCATGACTTATGGGGTTGCGTTTTTGTGTTGTTGTGTAAGTTCGGGCGTAGCCCGAACCTGTTCTTCGCGAAGTGCTGAACTGAATGGCTGACTGATTGGTCGCACCCATTAAGCGCCAATTTTAATGTCGGCCAGCCGAAGGCGCAACCAGTAAAAGCCAATTATATCCTCGGTGGCCGAGGGCGCACCTATGGCGCAACCAGTGCGGGCCAGTTGAATCCTCGGCGGAGGGCGCAACCCGGGGCGCAACAAATATGAGCCAGTCTATGGGCTCGGCGGCCGAGGGCGCAACCTAGGGCGCAACCACTAAGAGCCAGTTATATCCTCGGCGGCCGAGTGCGCAACCTAGGCCGCAACCAATACGAACCAGTTTATATCCTCGGCTGCCGACGGCGCAACCTAGGCCGCAACCGATACGAGCCAGCCTATTAGCTCGGCGGCCGAGGGCCAACCTAGGGCGCAACCAATAGGAGCCAGTTGTCCTCGGCGGCCGAAGGCGCAACCTATGGGAGCCAATTATATCCTCGGCTGTCGAGGGCACAACCTATGGCGCAACAATAGGAGACCCGTTTATTCTCGGCGCCCGAGCGTGCAACCTATGGCGCATTCAATCGGTGCCGCTTGATTCTCGGCGGCCGAACGGGAGGCGCAACCTATGGCGCAACCGACAGACGACGAGGACGAGGAGGAGGTGGAGGAGGAGAAGGAGGAAAATGGTGGTGGTTGGGGGGGTGGGGCGTGCCGTGCTGAGGTGAAAAAGCATCCGCGCATTTTCGTTGTGCTCTGGCCTCGAGCGCCTGGAAGACGACCTTGGGATCCACCTGGCGGGGAAACGCGATCTCCGCACAGAGCTTGCACCGCGGCTCATTCACGCAGATTTGAAAGTCCACAGCGTTCACACCCTTCACCATGTGCTCGTTCTTCTCCACGAATTCGTTGCGAATGAGCTCGTGCTTTCCCCAATTGTCGTACAATGTTTTCGGGGGCCCAATGTTGCAATATTCCTGAACGGCTTCGTAATCGTCCCAAATGTGCTCTGCTTGGTCCACAGCGTGTCGGACGTCCCACGGCTGCCCAGTTGTTGCGCACCCAGACAAGAGCGTTTCGCAGTCTGCCACTCCAGCGCGAATTACGGCTACGAGCACCTCTGGGTCCCCTTTGTTGTCTTCGGCTAACACGCCCTCCCTCTGACCCAGGCAGTGTCCTGCAATAGCATGGTTTGCTTTCGACCACTGTTGCTCAATTTTTACGTGCATGGCGGATTGCCCAGGGGCGAAGAAACGGAGCAACATCATGTAGCACTCGATGCGCTTGAATATCCGCCAATAGAATAAGAGGACAACCATGGATCCTCGGCCCCCCGTGCGAAACTGACAGCGCCCCCGCATTTTCATTCCTCGATTTTTCCTGCTCCTCCTCCTCCTCTGCCTCCTCCTCCTCCTCCTCCCTCTATTTCCTCTGCTGCTTCCCTCCCCCATTCCACAGATCCTGGATTATGCCCGGGGCCGTTATCGACGGACGCGCCAAGTGCCAGAGAGCCTTTGGTTTCAGGCTTCTCAAGGGCTTTCGCCAAATCGTGCGCGCGGGCATCCACCGAAACGCCCGCGTATTTGTAAGGCCGTATCGTGGCGAGCATGCCAACGGGGACAGGCCATGGAAGATGTTTCTCGCCTGGGGGTGTTCCTCCGGCGCGGAAAAAATCTCTGCGAGATGCCGGGCGCTTTCGCCTCCATTGTCTGGCGATTGTCCGCGCGACCAGAGACACATAACCAGGGTGTCCAAGTCATCGGCTAGGAGGACGACGGGGGTGATAACCATATGAGGACGAGGAGCGGGAGGAGGAGAAGGGAACAAACAATGGGATGGGGACAGGCAGGAGGAAGGGTGAGCGAGGAGCAGGAGGCAAAGTCGCCACAGAAAAACAAATAAATTTCGATTTGAGGAACACTCCCTCGCCCCACCGTTCTTTTCGATGCAGTGCTTATCCATGGCCGCCATCACTTCGTCGAAAGAGCACTTTTCCAATTGAGGGAGTTTGGTCTTGCAAATAGCCCAACCGGGCAACGCGAGCAGCATCCGAGCGGACAACGGGATATCATGGTCCAAGCTCCTCCACATATTGTCTGACATGAAGTAGCCTGAAGGCTTCTGATAAGTCAGGCATGGGATGTGCAATGGGATTTTCGCTTTGTCGTCGCCAGCCACCCAGGCGACGCGGAACCCGCCTTGAAGATGCAGGAATAAAAAGAAACTCTTCTGCATACCGCATTTGTACGATGCAGTGTTTCGTGCGAGTGTGCTCCTGCCGCGCTGCACGGTTGTGCCTGGCTAGTTTGGCATCAACCAAAGCGAGGAAGCCTTTCGAATTAGTCCGAGGGCCGTTGAAAACTGAACGAATTGCCGAATAGCTCGCAGCCAGACGCGGGCCTTTCAAGGCCAGCGCGTCTGCGATGTGCCGAACTGGTGCGCCCAGCGTTTCACCCTGAGGCACCAATCGGTGAGCATCGGCCGTAACCACCTGGCCATGGGACATGACGTACGCCTTGATGAAATCCACCACCTCTCCCCCTAAAGAGTCAACGATGTTCTTTCTACCCTTTTTGGCAGCCGGCTCGACGTGTCCATTGTGGCTCGAAGGCCAACGGGTGATGGTATTTGTTCGCATGCGCGTACACACGCACGCGCACGCTTGAAGGTCATCCAAAGATACGGTCAATCCCACACCCCTTGCGTTCCACATTGGTTGCGCTCTCCACCGGGAGCGACGACCCCCCCCCCCAGAGAGAGCTTGAGCGACAACATGCGGTATCGCACAGCGTCCGCCATAGCTAACCCATTCATGATTGCGAATGTTTTTGTTTTTCTTTTGGGTGGGGGCGGCCCCCCCCGTTTATTTCGCGCCTGGCAGAAACCCAAGTTAACAAATCCTCTGGTCTCTGGAATGCGATTCTTTCTAATACCCGTAACCTCCCGACCCCGCTGCCTGAGGGGAGGGTGAAATGACAGGAACCTGTGTTTTCGATCTCGCATGCACGTACACACGCACGCACACACACACACCTACTGCAGGTTCGCGTCGTGTCGACCCCGGCGTTGGTTTCTGACACCGCGGGGATCGTTCAACCTTGAACGATCGGCCGCTGCCGCAACGTCCGATCGTTCAACATCGATCGATCCTGGGTCGCCGGCGGCGTTCAACCTTGAACGCCGCTGGCGGGGTCGCCGCTGGTCGACACGACGCAAACCTACCGTACTGTAGTATGGTGTTATAATTTCGGCCGAATGAGAGGGGGCATGCGTGTATGTTGGGTTGGCGGGGGCCCTTGATGCGCAACGTGAGGCTGTGGAGCATCTCGTTGCTAACCACGTTGGCGTCGGCAAGAGCCTTTCGGAGCTCTTGGGACCGCCTTTCGTCCTGTACCATGGCGAGGGTCTCCTGTCGAATGGTTGATGCCTTGTCCAGATGTTCGAGGACGACCTTATGCGAGGCCACGCACTTTCTCTTGCTATCTTCCACTGCCTCGAACAGCTGGTTGCGCGTCCCAGCTTTCGGGTTGTCCAGGTCCGCCTTCTGCAACCAGCACTCAAGCTGAGCCTTCGCGCCGTGACACTTGACGATATCTTCTTGCATCTGCCGGTACTCCCTTACGAAATCAGGGTTCACATTCGTGATCCTCGCAACGACGCCGTCGATCCCGAACCACTGTTCCAAGACAGCGAAAGCAGAAGACTTAGACAGGCTACCTGCGAACATGGACCTCCAGTCATCAGGTCGCGGTTTGGGAATGGGCGTCTGCGCGGGCGGGACCACTTCGGGAGCAGCGGCGCCACTGCCCGATGACTGCGAATATCTAACCACGTTGTCCAGCCTGTGGGTGCCATTCTGCGTTGCCTCCCATGCCGCTTTAGCCTCGTCGTACCAAGCATCGAGAAGAATGCGAAGACAATCGTCGATGTCAACGCCAGCTTCTTGTTGGCGTTTCTCCACCCAACTTTTTGCCTTCTTCCAGACGTCCGCGTTCCAACGCTCAACGGACGTCCCTGGGTCCATCTGAAGGGCCTTCACCATGGAGTGGACGATGCGCTGCAAGCGGTTGTGGGCATACCCAAATGTGTTGGCTGTTTCTTCACCTTTCGGTTGGAGTTCACCGTGCAATCTCTTCTTGAACGCGTCGCTGAGCGGTGGGAACAGTGACGTCTTTTTCACCATGTGTTCCAAAACTGTGGCGATATTGGGCGGGGGCGGCCTCCCAGGCTGCTCTAACACCATTGCGGAAGAGCAAGTGTTTGACCGGGTGCCCAAGCGGACAAAGCCGTTCGCGCCTAGACGGTTGCGAGGGCGGCCAAGTCTTACTCCACAACATCACCTTCAACGATGTCCACGAACTAATGGAGGCAGCCCAGGGCTTCATCAGCCAGTGATCACAGGACCCCAAACTTTTAAGCCAACCGCAAGTCACATGCATGCAAACACACACATAAACCACACACGCATGAGCACATACACACATACATGCAGATGCGCACAACAATCAACACACAATCACGCACACGTGCGTACATACCCACATGCACGCATGAACGCGAAATCATTTACTGATGGCGCGAATTCATGCGCATGAACATACGCGTACACATTTGCACACACGCGCGCATACGCGCATACAGGCATACGCGCATACGCACATACGTACCCAACCTCACACGCTTATGCACACACATACATACACACTCGTACGACTAAGATCATATATGCAGAAGCAGTGAAGGCCCCTATGAATATAAGTACATATAAGTATATCCATAATATATGTATGTGTGTATGTGTATACACTGGGGCCCATGTGAGCACCGCTGGAAGCGATGGAAATACCTCGGGGTGGGAGCGCGTACGATCAAGACATAACAATAAGCATATACAGAGGAAGGAACGCCTGAGCACCTAAAGGAATAAACAAAGGAACGATTCATAATGCCAGTTGGAGCCCATGTAGCTACCAATTTGTCCAAGTCCAGGCCGCGGGGCCTAGATGGCGATCCACTCTGCTGCTTGGAATGAGACCCTTTTTCATTCGGCAGAACACCCAAGTAGAACCAAATCGATACCCCAATGGCATCTTGCACTTGCACCCCGGGGGGGGGGGCGCGGAAATCACGCAAGTCGAAAGGCACTTGCACGCTAGTAGTCGCTTGAAGAGGGGCGAGGGGGGGGGGGGGGGGGGGGGCGAATGCCATGCAAGTAAACTTGCCTGAATCAAAAAACTATCCTGGCGAAGGACCCAACCATATGCAGCTGTGCGTACCGCACGTGCGAGTATCTTCTTCCGCAGCGATCCCTAAGGGGCCACGAAACGTGTGAGGCTGTGCCGGGGCCTTCGGTGGAGCTCCCTGTGGGGCCACGAAACGTGCAAGGGGTGTGCCGAAATGGGTGCGGTGGGCGCATGCGAACGCAGCCACTGGGGCCTTCGGTTGAGCTCCCTGTGGGGCCACGAAGCGTGAGGGGTGTGCCGAACTGGGTGCGGTGGGCGCATGCGAACGCAGCCACTGGGGCCTTCGGTGGAGCTCCCTGTGGGGCCACGAAACGTGTGAGAGGTGTGCCGAAATGGGTGCGGTGGGCGCAAGCGAACGCAGCCACAGGGGCCTTCGGTGGGGCTCCCTGTGGGGCCACGAAACGTATGAAAGATGTGCCGACATGGGCGCGGTGGGCGCATGTGAACGCAGCCACCGAGGCCTTCGGTTGAGCTCCCTGTGGGGCCACGCAACGTGTGAGTGGTGTGCCGAAATGGGTGCTGTGGGCGCATGCGAACGCAGCCACTGGGGCCTTCGGTGGAGCTCCCTGTGGGGCCACGAAACGTGTGAACGTGTGCCGAAATCGGTGCTGTGGGCGCATGCGAACGCAGCCACGGGGGCCTTGGGTGAGGCTCCCTATGGGGCCACGAAGCGTGTGAGGGGTGTGCCGAAATGGGTGCGGTGGGCGCATGTGAACGCAGCCACTGGGGCCTTCGGTGGAGCTCCCTGTGGGGCCACGAAACGTGTGAGGGGTGTGCCGAACTGGGTGCGGTGGGCGCATGCGAACGCAGCCACGGGGGCCTTCGGTGAGGCTCCCTATGGGGCCACGAAACGTGTGAGGGGTGTGCCGAAATCGGTGCGGTGGGCGCATGTGAACGCAGCCACTGGGGCCTTCGGTGGAGCTCCCTGTGGGGCCACGAAACGTGTGAGGGGTGCGCCGAAATGGGTGCGGTGGGCGCATGCGAACGCAGCCACAGGGGCCTTCGGTGGAGCTCCCTATGGGGCCACGAAACGTGTGAGGGGTGTGCCGAATTGGGTGATGACGATGACGATGATGATGATGGTGGTGATGATGACGTCGATGATGTCGATGATGATCATGGTGATGACGATGACGATGATGATGATGATGATGATGATGATGATGATGATGATGATGATGATGATGATGATGATGATGATGATGATGATGATGATGATGATGATGATGATGATGATGATGATGATGATGGGAGGGGGGAGGAAGGGGAGGAGGAGGAAGGAGGAGGAACGCGGGGCGACGTCTCTTCAAAACGAGGACCCAACACCACAGGATGGTTGGGAAAAAAACAGGCTCCCTCCCCACCCCCTTCCCACGCGCACTTGTCCCGTCTCCCCCCGTCCGCCCTCCCCCACCCCGCCCTCTTGCCGCCTCAGTCCTCCCGCGCCCCCGCCCTCCTGCCGACCTCTGACCGACCTTCGCCCGCCTCCGTCGCTGCCTCCCGCCCCCCCTGGCTACAGGCAAGAGTGGGCCCTGGGAGAGAGCGACCTTTGGTGCGCGGCTTTTCGGGGGCCCCGGGGGACCAGACACAACCGCGCAAGGCGCTGCCGTCGCACCGCGTTCGGCGAACGGGGGGACCCCAGTGGTCCCGCACCAAAGGTCGCTCCCGCGATAGGTCACTCCTGTGTCCAGTCGACCCACCCCCCCACGTCCAGGATCGGACGCGACGAAAAGGGCGAACGGCCAAGGAGCGGGCATCGCGCGTGTTCGCCAGGGAGCCTCGCCGAAGCCATGGATCGTCGGCACCCTTGAATACATGGATTGCCCCCCCCTTTTGAGCAGGGACCGACCGTCTGGGCATTCCAATAGCCCTACCACGACATGTTCCTAGAACCCCAAACGAAACAGTCTTCTCCGTAGAACAGAAGCCCGATGTCGTCGTCGTCGTCGTCGTCGTCGTCGTCGTCGTGATCAGTCTCTTCCCCCTCGGCGAGATAAGAGGAAGGAGGTGGAGGAGGAGGATAACGAGAAGGAGGAGGAGGACGAGGAGGAGAATGAGGAGGAGGAGGAGGAGTAGGGGGAGGCGTCGAAACATGACGGCCTCGGCCAGAAATGTTCGAATTACACGCCGTGCAGACAACAGGATGTCTTTCCAGAACACTCCACGGTGGCCCTGTAGAGGCAAGCCAGGACGCTTCGCCACTGCTCGACCCTTGGCTCCTCGCCCCCTGTCGTCGCCTCCTCCTCCTCCTCCTCCTCCTCCTCCTCCTCCTCCTCCTTCACCTCCGCCTCCTCCTCCGCCTCCTCCTCCGCCTCCTCCTCCTCCTCCACCTCCTCCTCCTCTCTCTGCCTCCTCCTCCTCCTCCTCCTCCTCCCCTCCTCCTCCACCTCCGCCTCCTCCTCCGCCTCCTCCTCTCCTCCTCCTCCTCTGCCTCCTCCTCCTCCTCCTCCTCCTCCTTTGCCTCCTCCTCCTTTTCTTCCTCCTCCTCCTCCTCCTCCTCCTCCTCCTCCTGCTCCGCCTCCTCCTCCGGGAGGGGGGACCCCCGGACCTGGCCGGCGGCTCGAAGGGCACGCCCCGCTCCAGGCACCCCACCTCCCGGAGCAGCTCCGCCTCGGAGGCCACCTTCTCCTTCGCCTGTCGGTCGCGAGCCCAGGGGGGGGGGTGGTCCGCCTCCCTCCCTGCTCGGCGGACCTGGTGCGCCACCTGGGCCACCTGTTCCTTCAGATTCCCGGGAGCAGGGCTTTCGCGGTGCTCTTTCTTCGCAATCTTGCTCCCGCTGCAGCGCTGGCCTCCTTTCCGCGCTGCCGCTCGTGCCGAATCGTGCTCCCGCTGCAGCGCTGGCGTCATTATTTGCTGTGCGATGGCATGCCGCTGTGAGATGGCATGCCTTCAGCTGCAATGTCAGGATATGCAGTGCTCGACTACGCAGTGCCATGACATGCTATGCCATGCTACGCTTTGAGATTCAACGCCATGCTATGCCATGTTCTGTTCTGTGCCGCTTTGCGATGCGGTTCTTTGCGTTGCGCTGCCTTGTGATACACTTCCTCGCTACGCAACGCCATGCCATGCTATGACATACTACTCTCTCCCATGGGGCGGAGCAAGAAAAATGGGTGGAAGAGGTGGCGGGTGAGAAGGAGGAGGTGGGGGAGGAGGAGGAGGAAGAGGAGGAGGAGGAGGAGGAGGAGGAGGAGGAGGAGGAGGAGGAGGAGGGTTTCTCTTCCAGGAGGAGGATGGGGCGAGACATCCGAAGCGCCACAGAGGGCCCTGTGAGGGCCAGACCCGCCATGCCAGCGAAGCACAGGGAGAAGACGAAGTACAACGGGCACGAGAAACTCAGAGGCCTTCGGCACGACATGCTCCTGCTCCGTCGTCGCCCCCCCGCCATATCGACGAAAACCTGCAGGAACGAGACATCGTGGCGCACCGGATCGAAGTTGGAGCGGCCCAGCGTCTTGCAGTACACGTGCCGCTGTTTCTTCTGCGCTTGGCCCTTGGGCTACCGCACCTTCACACACCATCCTGTTAATCAGCACTGTCCCGTAGAATATCGGCATGATCCCGTGGATGTCTAGTCAAGCACCGTCACGACACTCAGCGGCGTCATGCAGCTGATCTGTACGATCCCGAAGCTGTGCAACATGGCCCCTGAGCCCAGCACCGTTCCGACAACGGGCAGCCCGTAGATGGCCAGCACCGTCCCGAAGCCCAACGCTGTCCCGACGCGCAGCGCCGTACCGAGGCTCAGCACTATCTCGAAACTATGGGCTCCGAGATGCTGCGCGTGAGGTGGTCCGGTCCGTTTCACTTCGGACAGTCTCGAAACTCTGGGCTCCGAGGGGAAGGAGGGAGGAGGGGTTAACCTCAACGAACAATTTCATATCGCTTCTGTTGTCGAACAGTGCTTTGGGAGGGGTATTGCCGCACCTGGCCCGACGGAGGAGGTAGCTGGCGCCTCGACGCGAGCGCAGTCCCACCAGCCCTTTGGGCGTGAGTGGTTTAGCGAGTCCTCTCTGTTCTCAACCCCCCTTCTTCCCCTTCGGAGAGGGGTTTACCCCTTCCCTTACCCCCTCCCCCTGGGCCTGGAGAGGTCCTTTCGCGGGTCGTTGGAGTGGTCTTTTTTGACTCCTGGGAGGGCTAAAAAACGACACCCCTCACGAGGATTCTGGCCCCGACGGGGGGGGGCAGAAAAAACCCTCTCCTCTTCTTTGAAGCCAAAATCATTGATTTTACTACGGTTTTGGCCCCATTTTGGGCTTCTGAGGGGGCAGCGCTCCTTAAAGCTCCCCTCTTCTTTCAAGGCAAAATCATTGATTTTACGAAGATTTTGGCCTCATTTTGCCCTTCTGAGGAGCCAGCGCTCATTAAAGCTCCCCTCTTCTTTGATCGATTCCCTCCAAGATGGCCCCAAGAAGCGCCCAGGAGGCACCAAGAGGCCCCAAGATGGCCCCAAGAGGCCCCCAGGAGGCCCCCAAGAGGCCTCCAAGAGGCCCCCAAGAGGCCCCCAAGAGGTCCCCAAGAGGCCCCAAGAGGCGCCGAAGACGCCCCAAGAGGCCTCCAAGAGGCTCCCAAAAGACATCTACTACTACTTCTACTCCTACGACTACTACTAATACTACTATTACTACTAATACTAGTATCACTACATCATCTCCTACTACTACAACTACAACTACTATTACGACTACTACTAGTCCCACCAGCCCTTTGGGCGTGAGTGGTTTAGAGAGCCCGCTCTGTTCTCAACCCCCTTCTTCCCCTTCGGGGAGGGGTTTACCCCTCCCCCTACCCCCTCCCCCTGGACCTGGAGAGGTCCTTTCGCGGGTGGTTGGAGGGGTCTTTTTCGACTCCTGGGAGGGCTACAAAACGACACCCCTCACGAGGATTCTGGCCCCGACGGGGGGGGGAGAAAAAAAAAACCTCTTCTTTGAAGCCACAATCATTGATTTTACTACGGTTTTGGCCCCATTTTGGCCTTCTGAGGGGGCAGCGCTAATTAAAGTTCCCCTCTTCTTTCAAGCCAAAATCATTGATTGTACTAAGGTTTTGGCCCCATTTTGGCCTTCTGAAGGGGCCAGCGCTAATTAAAGCTCCCCTCTTCTTTGATCGATTTCCTCCAAGATGGCCCCAAGAAGCGCCCAGGAGGCACCAAGAGGCCCCAAGATGGCCCCAAGAGGCCCCCAGGAGGCCCCCAAGAGGATCCCAAACGGCCCAAAGAGGCCCCCCCGAGGCACCCAAGACGCCGAAAAGCCCATCAGGACGACCCTCTACTCGCCTGGGCGTCGTTTCTGGACGGGCAGGAGGAGGGGCCCGAACGACTCACACCAGGACGAGGGGCCCGAACAACTCACACCACGAGAAGCCCGAACGACTCACACCAGGACGAAGAGCCCGAACGACTCACACCACGAAGAGCCCGAACGACTCACACCAGGAAGAAGGGCCCGAACGACTCACACCAGGACGAGAAACCCGAACGACTCAAACCACGAGGAGCGCTTTCTCTCCCTCCTCCTCCGCCTCGTCCTTCTCCCGCTCCCACCACAAGGAGGATGTACAAGGAGGCGGGAGGAAGGAGGAACAGGGGAGATATGCGGGGGCAGGCGGAAACACACCTGAAAAACACGACTGTCGGCATGCTTCGCTAGAGTTGCTGTTTTGAGATGGGCTGGTGGGGATACGCGAAGCGTGAAGAATTCCTTCGTAAATGCTGAGAACGTTTCTCAGGGGGAACCATGCTTGAGCAAGTCGTGGGGGTGCCTCGAGCGAGAGTGGTCGAGAGTGCGAAGGCAGGAGAAGAGGAGGAGCGAGAAGGAGAAGGAGGAAGAGGATGAGGAAACAGACGGGGACCGTCGCACGGCTTCGGTCAGGGCTCGACTCCGCTAGGGCTGCGGCTCGAGCGCTTGAATGACAGCTCTGGGCGCTGCCTGCCTGATGGGGATCGGGCTTGGTATACCACGTGGCCCCTCTTTGAGCTCTTCGGGTGCCACCCACTGATAAAAAGGAATATGCCAACACAAATCGGCTGAAGGAACAGGACGGGGATACTGAGGAATGGCAGGAGGAGAGGAGGAGAAAGAGGAGGAGGAGAAATACGAGGACGAGGATGAGGAGAAGGAGGAGGAGCATTGCGAGGAGGTGGAGGAGGACCAGGAAGAGGAGAAGGAACAACGCGAAGAGAATGGGAACGAGGAGCACGAGGACCAGTACGAGGAACACAATAACAAGCACGGCGAGCAGGAGGCGGAGGAGCAGGAAACGAAAAAGGAGAAGCAGGATGGCGATAAGGAGGGCGAGGATGAGGACGTGGACGTGGACGAGGATGACGATGAGGAGGAGGAGGAGGAGGAGGAGGAGGAGGAGGAGGAGGAGGAGGAGGAGGACGACGATAGCGAGAAGCCCGACGACGACGCCGAATGCGCAGGCGGAGCAGCCTGAGGACTGGACGAGTTTTTCGCGATCGACGCGTGAGCACCCCGAGGAGCCGCCGTGGCTCAAACAGCTCGGCGACGACGCCGAAGGCGCAGCCGCCTCCGACGACGCCGCCAAGGCGGCTCCACGGGGTGCTCACGCGTCCTCTCCGAAGGCGACAACGACGGAAGGCTCGACGAGGACGCGCGAAAGCTCCGAGGAGCCGCCTTGGCTCAGCAAAATGCTGCTGGGGGGCGCTGGGCTTTGGCTACGGTTCAACGACTTCGGCTTCTTGGGTGCGTGCGTTTTCGGGGTCCTCTCGGGGCCCCCTCTGGGGCCGTGCCGGGGGCCTCTGGGACAATCCTGGCGCCACCTGTGGCCGTCTTTATCTGTCCTGGTCGTCTGGGGGCTGTTCTGGTGTCCTCTTGGGGCCATCTTGGGCCTCTCTGGGCCACTGAGGGGCTGTCTGAGGCCGTCTGGAGGACTCTGACAAGGGGGCGGGGGTGTTCGAAGCCGTCATGGGAACATTGGGGGAGGCGCGATGGCGTGATAATGACCCCCTTTCCCCCCTTCCAGATCTCATGGGAGAGGGCCCGATATGGTTCGAAGACTCTTGGTTGTCTCTTGGGGTCTCTGTGTTCTCGAGGCCCTTTTGGAAGCATGTTTGGCCCTCGTGGTAAGCTCTCAGGGCCTCTTGGGCGTTTCTGGGGGGTTTCTGAGGGCCTCTTGGGGGGCCAGCTGGTTGTCCCAGCTACTTCGGGGCATCTCTTGGGGCGCTATTGCAAGAGCGCCCCAAGAGATGCCCTCAAGAGAGCCCAGAAGTGGCCCCATGGGGGCGCGTTGGGCCATCTAGGGGCTCTTGTGGGCCATCTTGTGGCCCTCCTCGGGGCCTCTTCGACCGTCTTGGGGCGATCTTGGGTGACTGTTAAGTTTTTTGGGGGCGTCTGGAGGCTCCCGGCCCGCTCCAGCCCCGGCCCTGGCCCAGGTCCGGGCCCCAGCGCCCTCCAAATCTAACTATATCTATGTGGCCCCCCAGATGCCCAAGATGCCGAATCTAGCTTCAAAACAGCGAACGAAGCCTGGAAGTCGCCCCAGGAAGGCTCCAAGACGCCCCGAATGGTCCTGATGGGCAACCGGCGTCGTCGTCAACATCGCCAACGTACTCGTCATTATCTCCCTCCTTCTCCTCCTCATGATCGCCACGCTCTATTCGCCCCTGCCCTTCCTTCGTGCCCCCCCGCGACCCTGCTCGCCTCGTTCTCCTCCTATTCATTCCCCCCCTGTGCTCCTACTCCTCCTCATCCGCCTCTTCCTCCTGTCCCCCTCTTCATCTTCCTCCCCATGCTCCGCGCCCTCTCAGGGTCGGCGGCATCGGCCGTAAGGCTTTCGCAATAAAAACTCGAGAATGCCAGCATGAGTAGAACACTTGAGCGAAATCAATGATGTTTGCCTCTTGGCGCCCTCTTGAAAGTCCTCCGGGTGCCTTCTCGAAATGTCCGGCCGTCTGGACGGTCCGGGAACCTTCCGGGGCCGTCTGGAGGCAATCTAGGGCTGTCAACGAGCGTTTCGGGAGCCCTCAGCGAGACCCATCTAGGGCCTAGGGGAAGACCCCAGGAAAGCCTGGGCATCTTGTGGGGCTGTCTGGGACCGTCTTCTGGGCTCTGGATAAAGGGTGTTGGCATACCAGCACCCCCTGCAGATTTGCCCATGTTCGTGTACGCGTGCAATCTTATCAGATAAAAGAGTGCTCGACATGGAAAGATCTCGACCAGAACAGATACACCGCAAATCTGCATTATGAAAATTTCAACAAATACTTTAAAACACCTTGTCGTCAAGACAATTAGCTAGTACATACGAGAATGTGCCATCCAACCGCCATGCGATCCTGGCCGCCATCATTATCACAATCGTGGTGAATCTGATTATCACGTTGATTTGGGGGGACGCCAGATTATCATGGCGCCGTCAGTGAAGAGGGAGGCGGGGCGGGATGGCATCTGAGGCGCCAGAGCAGATGGATGCGTTTCCTCGGCGTGGGACAGCACAAAGGAAGTCGAGTGCGAGATGCTGTCTGTGTCTGTCTGTCTCTCTGTCCTTTTCCTGTATCTATATACATACATGTACATGTATAACCCCTTCCCTCCCCGTCCCTCCCTCCCTACCCCCATGCCCTCTCCTCTTCCATCCCCTTTTCTTCCTCTCCACGCCTCCCCTCCTCATCATCTGTCCTAACCCTTTGTGTCTGTATGTGTGTGTGTGTGTGTCATGTGGGCGTGTCCTGGCTGCCGCGCCTCAAGTCACTGCGGCTCCCGTACCCTGGACCCGTGGCACCATGGACGACCACGGCTTGGGCCACTCGCTCCTGCTACCTGTTCGATGGCACAACGTTGCACCTCGGCTCAGCGTTACTCTCCACTCTCCCTGGTCTCTGACGCTGCTTGGGTGCAAGGCGCGTCACCTCTCGCCGCCAACTCGAGGCTGGTGTATATGATGAGCCGTGGACGGCAGCACCAATCACAGCATTTTGCTTCTGCCGGTACTTCGCCACCGGGTTCCTGGACAAGGCGCGCCTTTGCAAGCACGTCGATTTCGGCACCGCCTGATCCCGAGGCTTTGCCTCCACCCGGCCTCGCCCTGAGGCTGCCCTCCCCCCTTCCTCCCCCTCTTTGTTAATTCAAGCTTCGGGCGGCCCGCTTAGCTTTGACCGGAAAAGGTGTGCTCTCGACCCGCGAATCAAAAAAGTGTGTGTGTGTGTCATGTGTTTCCGCATCGGCGTGGGGCCTTGAATCCTCCAAACCCCGTGTCCGCATTCAGAACGTTCTGTTCTGCCTCTCCCCCCTTCCCTCCCTCATTTGGCCTCGGCGTCGAGCTCGCCGCCCCGCTCCTTGAGCTTGGCGATCTGCGCCAGCTTCTTCTTGATCGCCTTCAGCCTCTTGTCCGCCTCCAGCGGGGATGGGCCCAGCTGCTCCTCTTGCTCCTCTTGCTCCTCTTGCTCCTCCTCCTCCTCCTCGTCCTTCTCCTCCTCCTCCATTCCTTCTCCTTGTACATAACTTCTCCCTGTCGCACCCCGAGGCCAGTTTTTTGGGCGGGCCGGGCGTTTCGCCTGAGACGTCCTCACCATCTATGGCTCTGAAGGTGAAAAAGTAACAACACATAGATGGATGGCGGGTTGTTTTCAAAATGTGGTTTTCGCCTAAGCGCCGCGCGCATTTCGTTTCAACCTGTGCAAGGGCTTCACGGATTGAGGCGGGTCGTTTTCAAAATGTGGCTCTCGCCTTAGCGCCGCGCACATTCGTATTCAACATTTGCAAGAGTTTCACGGATTGAGGGCGGGTGATTTTCAACATGTGGCTCTCGCCTCAGCGCCGCGCACATTCGTTTTAAAGCAATTGCAAGAGCTTCACGGATTGAGGACGGTTCCTATTCAATGTGTGGATTTCGCTTTAGCGCCGCGTGTACTAGTTAAAAAAATTGCAGAAAGGTTTCGCGGATTCCCAGGATCAACGTACCAGAAACAGTGTTTTGAAAGGATTCAGGATTATGCAGGTGCAACAATTATGTTGATTCGCGGTGTTGAAGTTCCAACAATGGCTTTCTGGCAAGATTCCAGATTGTCAAGACGCAGCAGTCAGGTTGATACGTGGCGTTGAAATCCCGAAAACAATGTTTTGGCATGCTTTAGGATCTTCGAACGGCTGTCTTCCAACCAGGCAGCTCCTTCAATGGAAATGAACCGTTATAGGGGCCTCTGAAGGAGGGAGCTTGGAGGGATGACTAATTCCGACATCGTTGATGACTTGTGGGTTTACACTAGTCCTCCGCCTCCTCCTCGCAGCGCCGTCGGGCATCCCCAGTCCGCGCCGCCGCGCCCCCGCGCGCGCGCCAGGCGCGCCGCGGGCTGGAGGGGCGGGGGTCCCCTTGGTCCACTGGGGGGCGAGGGAAAAGCCACCTGCCCGCCCTCTATCCTAAAACCCTCCGAAGGACGAGACGGATTGGGAGGAACGGCCGGGCCGTTCGATGATGCCTGCAGCGCTAGATTGCGGTAGACGTGGTATCTTGCGTGTAACAATACGCTGTCGTGCGTTATCTTCTCTGGATTCAGGCAGGCAAGTCTCGCCTGGAGTTTTATGACAGCATTTGGATTTAGGCCATGCGAAAGGCCGCCTCGACGCCGAGGACACGCTCGAAGTAGGCGGCTACGCCTGGCTGTCTTTCGGCGGCTGCCAGGTCTTACATGTTTTGGAACACCATCTCGATGTGCATCGGGTCCTGGTAGCTGTGCTTGTGATCCTCCTGCTGGAACGCACGCCCGAACGCCCGGTCATTCGACCCACGGGCTCTGGGCACGTTGTCCTGACAAGGACGTACTCCGAGCCTGCCTTGAATACCCAGCTGCCTGCTGTCTGCTGACTCATCATGAAGCCCAAGTGTACCGTCCCGCCCGTTGACTGGCGGGCGAATTTTGACGCCGACGAGGCGCGCGGCAACGCCGGGGGCGCTGCCATGTTGCTGCAGCCCATCGCTGTCAGGCTGAAGCCCTGCACCTCCTGGTGGTCGTCGAAGCTCAGTTGGAGGTCTTCGTGACCCTGCTTGCGGCCCTCGAAGCTGTGCCTGTGGTCCTCGTAGTTGAGCTGGTGGCCGTCGTAAGTCGGTTGGAAGCTCTGGTAGCTAAGCAGGTGGCCTGGGTAGCTCTGCCAATCGCTGCCGTAGCTCAGGTTGTGGTCCTCGTAGCCCGACATGTGACCCTCGTGGTACCGCGTGTGGTCCTCGTAGCTCAGCCAGTTGCCCTTGAAGCTCCGCTGGTGGCTCTTGTACCTCAGCTGGTGGTCCTCGTTGTCCTGCTCTTGCTCCTCGTAATTCAACCTGTGGCCCTCGTAGCTGAGCCGGTGATCCTCGTACGTAGCTTTGCTGGTGGTTCTGGTAGCTCAGCAAGTGGCCCTGGTGCCTCTCCTGGTGCTTCTCGTGGCTCAGCTGGAGGTCCTCGTAGCCATGCCCGTGGCTCTCGTAGCTGTGCTGGTGGTCTTCGTTGCTTAACTTGTGGCCATCGTAGGTCTGTTGAAAGCTCGGGTAGTTTAGCAAATGGCCTGGGTAGCTCTGCAAATTGGCTCCCGTAGATCAGGTCGTGGTCCTCGTAGCCTGGCTTGTGGCCTTCGTAGCTCACCGAGTTGTCCTTGTAGCTCTGCTGGTGGCTCTTGTAGCCCAGCGGGGGACCCTGGTGCCTCTCCTGGTGCCCCTCATGACTCAGCTGGAGGCCCTCGTAGCCGTGCTTGTGGCCCTCGTAGCTGTGCTTGTACTCCCTGCTTGTGGCACACGTAGCTGAGCTGGTTGCCCTCGTTGCTTGTGGCCCTTGTAGCCCAGCAGGTGGCCCTGGTACCCTTCCTGGTGCCTCTCGTGGCTCAGGTGGAAGTCCTCGTAGTTCAACTGGTGGCCTTCGTAGATCAGTTGAAAGCTCGGGAAGTTCAGCGGGTGGCCCAAGGAGCTCTGCTAGTGGCTCCCGTGACTCGAGTTGTGGTCCTCGTAGCCCTGCGCGTGGTCGTCACAGCGCAGCCTGTGGTCCTCGTAGCTCAGCAGGTTGCCCTTGAAGCTCTGGCGGTTGTACCAACATTTCAGAGGGTGGTCCTGGTGCCTCTCGTGACCATTGTGGCCGCACTTGTAATCCAGGTAGTCCAGCTGCTCGGCCGGTGACCCTCGTGACTCTGCTGGTGGCCCTCGTGGCTCAGCGCGCGCTTCTGGTATAGCCCAATCCTGTGGTCCTCGTTGCTTTGCCGGTGGCCTTCGTAGCTGAGAACGTGGGCCTTGAAGCTCCGTGTCGTTCATTTCTTTCAGGCCGTGCTCCTCGTAGTCCTCATCCTCGTCTACTTTGTTGGTCTCCTCTTCGTTTGCCTCCTTCTTGGTCTCCTCCTCGTCGGGTCCTTTCTCCTTCCCGCGGTCGAAATCGGACACGTCAGTTGCCGGGTCGCAATGCTCCGCGCTCCAGTTGTCGGGTGGTGGTCTTCGAGGCTGAATTTGTGCATCTCGTAGCTCTGTTTCAAGCCCTCGTAGGTCTGGTAGCAAGGTGAGGAATTCGTACGCGGCGTATTCGTCGTAGCAGTTGTACTCGCCGCGCCCGTAATATGCGTCGTAGTCGTAGCTGTCGATACCGGCGCGGTCGCTGTCCACTGGTACCTCCACGACGTCGATGATGGTGGCGTATTTGGTGTCGTAATGGTCGTAGTTCTCGTCCTCGGGCTGCCTATTACGCAGCTGATGATCGTACATGGGCTGCCTGCTACGCAGCTCGTTCTCGAACCGGGGTCACCTGGTGCGCAGCTCTTCCTCGGGCTGCTTGTTACGCAGCGCGTCGTAAGTATAATGCGGCATGGCCCGTCCTGCAATGGGCGCCGTCCTGAGAACGGTCATGGCGATGGTCGTGATGTCGTTGAGGTGTGGTTTCGGCCTGTGTCGGGCGATGTCGCCCGTCCTCTTGAGAAGTGCATCCGCACTTGGTCTCGGGATGGTTGCCAATAAATCACCACGCGAATGGGTGACCTCGTAAGCCTTAGTGATGTTCTTCAGGGTGATTAGCACGCGGCCCGCCTCCCATGGCGCGGCGGCGCGCTGAGGCTGGCGCCCCCGCGGGCGGCCGCGCGCGCGGGGCGTGGCGCCCAGGGGCGAGCGCGGGAGATAGAATTCCCGCAAACGGCCTTCCTCCTCCACTCCCATTCCTTATGAACAATTTCTCTCTGTCGCACCCTGGGGCCAGTTTTTAAAGCGGGCCGGGCGTTTTGCTTGAGACTTCCTCACCTCTGATGGCACTGAAGCTTAAAGTGTGCAGCAGTTTCACAGATGGAGGTCGGGTGGTTTTCAACATGTGGCTCTCGCCTTCGCTCTGCGCACATTCGCTGTAAACAAATGTAAGAACTTCACGGATAGAGGGCGGATGGTTTTCCAAATGTGGCTCTCGCCTTAGCACCGCGCACATTTATTTTAAACATTTGCAAGAGTTTCACGGATTGAGGGCGTATGGTTTTCAAAATGTCTTAGCGCCGCACGCATTCGTTTTGAACATTTGTACATGTTTCACGGATTGAAAGCGGCTGGTTTTCAAAATGTGGCTCTCGCCTTAGCGCCGCGAGCATTCGTTTGAAGTATTTGCCAGAGTTTCACAGGTTGCGGTGGGCTCCTTTTCAAAATGTGGCTCTCGCCTTAGCTCCGCGCACGTCCATTTATAAAATTTGCAAGAGTTTCACGGATTCCCATGATCAAAACACCAGGAATTGTGTTTGAAGGATTCAAACATATCATGGTGCATCAGATACGTTGATTCGCGGTGTTGAAGTTCCAGGAATGGCGTTCTGGCACGATTTAGGATCGCCAAAACACAACAATCAAGTTGATCAGTGGCGTTGGAATCCCAAGAACAATGTTTTGGCATGCTTTATGGGGTCTTCACACGATTATTTTCCAACTTTCAGTTTTCTCAGCTGAAATGAACCGTTGTAGGGGTCTGTGAAGAGGCAGCTTGGAGGGAGGGTTTATTCCACCATCGATGCTGACTCTTGGGTTTACACTGGTCCCTCCTCCTCCTCCTCCTCTTCTTTCTCCTCCTCCTCCTCATGATCCTCCTCCTCTTTAGCCGCCTCCTCCTCCTCCTCATTATCCTCCTCCTCCTACTCCTTGTCCTCCTCGTCCTCTTCGTCCTCATCCTCCTCCTTGTCCTCGTCCTCGTCCTCCTCTCCTTCCTCCTCCTCCTCCTCCTCCTCCTCTTCTTCCTCCTCCTCCTCCTCCTTCTCCTCCTCCTCCTACTCCTCCTCCTCCTCCTCCTCCTCCTCCTCCTCCTCCTCCGCCTCATCCCCTCTCTCCTCCCGCTCCCTTGTCCCCTGCTATTCCCCCCCCCTTAGGAAACACACGCAGCTGGACTCGCATGCCGTGCAGAGCACTCGGATCCCCCGCGCGGGAAGC